TATTTTAATTATATTTTAATTATATTTTAATTATATTTTAATTATATTTTAATTATATTTTAATTATATTTTAATTATATTTTAATTATATTTTAATTATATTTTAATTATATTTTAATTATATTTTAATTATATTTTAATTACATTTTAATTACATTTTAATTATATTTTAATTATATTTTAATTATATTTTAATTATATTCTAATTAATAGATTTATTATATAATAATTATATTATTATTATATTATAAATATATTATTAATATATATTTTTTAGCTAATATCAAGCTAATAATAATCTTGTTAATAGTAACTTAATAGAATAAAAATGATTTTACATATATATTAATTATATTTTTACTATATAATAATTATATTATAAATATATTACAAATATATTATAAACATATTTAATGAAAATTCAAGTTTCTGCTAAGATTGTCCTTTTCAATAAATTCAGGGTGTGGATCTATTTCAACAACTGATCTAATCGATAAACTTCTTTTATTATTTATAGAATCTTCATAATCATTGTCCTCTTCGAAAAATTCGAGGTGTTGATCTGTTCTAACAACTGGAATAGTTAATTGAGTATTATTAATATTATTTGTTATGAATTTAACTGCTGTTTCAGGTATCTAGTTGAGATCATCAAAAATTTTATCAAATGTTGGATGTTTGTCTGGCTCAGAAGACCAACATTTCATATAAAGTTCGGCATATTCTTTAGGCGTGTTTGGGATCACTTTTTCTCGACCACCTTTCGCTATATAAATGTTTATGTTAAATCCAGAACCACCTAAGAAAGGAGGAATTCCACTTGTGAGTTCCCAGAATAATACACCTAAACTATAAATGTCGGATTTTTCATCTAGTTCAACTTTTTTATCAAGGTGAATAAAACATTGTGGTTCAATATAAGCTACCACGCCATGTACACTTGAGATTGAAGAGGCAACATCATTCAAATTTTTTGATAATCCAAAGTCAGCAATAAGTGCTTTTCCTTCATTTATAAGAATATTTTTAGAATGCTATATAATGTTAAAAATGAATTAGGATCTCGTCAAAGCAACGTTAGAAAAGTTATGTAGCTTACTAGACCCCGATGAACAATATTTTTGGTATGCATATAATTCAAACCAGAGGCTATTTCTTTTGCAATTTGAATGACGTTAGCCCATGAAATTCTAAAAATACCATCTTGTTGCTTTCCTTCCAAAAACTCCCGTAGTGTTCCGTCGTCAGCATATTGTAATACCATATTAATATTGTTTGTTTGTGGGTCTGAAAAAATGAATAATTTATGATTTAAGCGATTATTTTCTATAGGATCTAAAACTCCGCTCGGAATCTATCAGTTAGGCCGACATCAAACGGTCGGTCAACTATAGAACATTATCATGCAAACATTTTTTTTACTGACTTTATTAGTAAAACTCATTATTCAGTAATTGCCAGCATATAAGGTCAGAATTACAATAGATTCCGTCCGGATAAGATCAGCTTTCAAGTTTAAGGCAAAAAATTTTATTACCTTCTGAAATTCCATAAAATTTAATGATATTAGGATGATCAGCTTCATAAAGAGCTTCAAGCTATTTTATGATTATCATAATTAGGTTTGAATAATTAAGTTCAAAATTATGTATGTTATAATAGATTACCTCACGAACTATCATTTTATCAATTAAATTTTCTTTGTGTAATCGTTTTAAAGCAAATATTTTTCCTTGAAAATCTGCTGAAAACACTTCGCCGAATGCACCATGACCAATTTTTTTACGATCATTAAAATCAGAGAACTTATATTCTTTTATATCTTTCAAAACTAGTTTGAAAATTTTGAATATTAATACATAAAATGTATTTTATTTGAACTAGAAGAGCTTCTTAACATAATGCTTACCGTTTAGTCTATAAATTACTGATATAGGATTTCTTTCTGACTGATTCGAACCCATGTCAAATAACTACGAATTAAATTTAATTAAGTGTTCTTTATAATTATTGAATTAGAATGTACAAATTCTGCTATCACTATGAAGTTGTTTAAATGCAAATTTATATTAATAGTGATGATTTATTGTTATGTAGTGGTACGTCCTATCAGCCTAATATAGACTTGATATCTTCGTAAGCTTTGCACACGTGATGTCAACTTATAAAAGAAAGTCTCAGTTGTTCAGTTTGAATATTCTTTATTCGCAAGAACATTCGGAATAATAGCACAGATATTCCGATATGTAAATAATTAGTAGAACCAATAAGAAGTGGTGGGAAATTAGTAAACTCACGTACGTACGTACGTATATGGTTATTTTTTAATGATATAAACTTCACAGTATTGCATCATTATAGTACTATATTAATATATCGTATGAATTTACATATTTGCCATACCGATACAAAAGATGTTTTTTTATCGATTAAAGTGAACGCCGATCATTTATAAAAATATGTAAAATAGTTATAAATAAGTACATATTACTCTTGGCGTATTATTACTATGTAAAAATATTGAGAAGTCTAGATCCTTCACTTTATTGAAATTGATGATTTAAGATGTTACAGTATTTTTGATGTGCTACTAATTTACGTATTATCTTCATACAAAAAGATTGATTTTTTTAAATTTCTTGCGCTGTACATATAATGAAAGTACTGCAGATCAATACAACACATTTAATTTGTAACGGTAATGGTAGAAATCAGATTTACTTTCTACTATACATTGGACACATATGGCTGAGTGGTGCTAATTGTGCGTCTTGAGATTTACTAATTTTTTTTTTCTGATTTACGTTTAGCATGAATGGCATGCAGCTGTATAGTTTAAGGCTATAATTTAATGCAAAGGACGTTATTCACATTAACTTTGCTGGAGATTATACATTTTTTATTGACTCTTGTCAATTCGATGCGAGTAATTTTGAATTTTTACCGATCAACGAAGGACTACATCACTTATTTATTCTATATAAATTATCTTCAATAAAGCAGCTTTAGTTAATTATATATTATTCATATAAGATAAAAAAATATATATTTATTAATTATTTTTTAAGTATTACTGAGTATCTTCGGAATTTTTTTCTATTTATCATAGTAAATCTTTAAGGGTAGGGTGTACGTAGATCAATTTTCATATGATCTACGTGGTATATTGAATTTTTATATAGTAAACAAAAAAGCGCTTCTAATAAAACTTTTTAATACCTTAACCAATTTGTATCAAATTTATACAATATGTAGTTTAAAATAGGTTGTTTATAATAATAAAGTTGTACAATACATATTGTTTTTAAAAAATTTAACTTTACATATAACTAAAATTTTCTCTGGATGCTATATGTTTTCCCCTGGTTACACAAAGAATAGCTAATTATGATTGGTTAGATCATGTGTTGTTTACATGTAAATCATATGGGCTAAGTGCTACAGAAAGGGGGAAATCGACATTTGTAAAATCATGAGATAACCCGTGATTTGTGTTTTGATCACAACAAAGATCTGCATGCATCCAACCTAATTTAGACATCGGAAAATTGGTACAGATGATCAGCAGTTTACAAAAATTCCCGATAAATAAATATTTGTGTAATGTTAAAAGTGCTGCAGAAAGAGGGAAATTGACATTATGATAAATATTCGTATAACATTAAAAGTGCTGCAGAAAGGGGGAAATCGACATTATGATAAATGTTTGTGTAACGTTAAAAGTGTGAAATATACCAATCCTTGTATTTTATTCGAATTAATTTTGTAAGTGTAGATTTTTTTAAATGCTTACTTCCCTATTGCCATAGCTCTTCTAACTCAAGTTAATTTAGGCAAATATAAAGATATCTCATTAATCGATGCATTTACAAGTAACTTAGCATTACCAATATACATTTGCCTTATTCAATTTTATATCATTTGGGGTAAGTGTAAAAACATATTAGTCAATATAATTAAAATAAACTACAGTATTCGAATTCGTAGTATTTACTTACCACATCACCCATAAACTTATCCTTTTAATTTCATTTTATTCATGCTAATTTTACCGATGTTACGTTTTACTCGCATTAATCTAATATAAATATAAGATAACTTATTAATCGATGTAATTAAAGTAAGCTATGTAAACTACAATATTTACATTCATTTAGACGTATATTAAGCTGCTTTATTAATCAGT